TTTTTACAGGAAACCAATGAATAGCATAGTTAGTTTAGTAATAATTCATAGTTTTAGTCAGTCAACAATACTTTTCAACATTTATTTAAAAAAAAAAAAAAAAGCAGCTGCCGGGGCTTTTTCTTCATAAAGCTCTCCCGGCTTTAAGAAATGTGACTTATGCTAGAACTCAATGTCTATTTCAAATATACACACATCCTGCATTAAGTGCCTTGGAGAGACTCATGCAGCGTTTAAGTGCCCACATTGTCTAAACATGACAGCCAAAGCCAGAAAAGACCGTGAAATGCAGCTCAAAAATCTCCTCTGGGAGAAATCCCTACAATCATCAGGGAGTAAGTCTGAGGAGATACGGGGACAGCAAAAGCCCGTTGACAGGGTTGCCTTACTACCCCGTAGAGGCTCTCAAGTTTCACGGGCTTCCCTGGCACACTCATTGTCAGCGCTGTCTCAAGCCTCCCGTTCCTGGTGCCGTCAGTCTCCAGCACTGCAGAGAAACGTAAGACCACATTAGGCAGGAGAGCTCAGTCAGAGCCTAAGCGCTTGGCACTGGCTAGTGCCACTAATGCAATGGCACCGACAAAGCCTGATATGCCAACACCGCCAGCTCCCACAGGCACCTCTGCACTGCCTGAACAAGCCATTCCTGGGTAGCCTGAACACAAACGCACTCCGGCACTGGAGTATAAGAAAGCGTTGCAAAAGACGTGTCATTTACAAAAATCCCCACAGCTGAGACATCTCGGATACAAGGAGCCTGTTCACCACGCTCCTCTGTGTTGTCTCATGCCAACATGCACAGGCACTTGCCAGAAAGGGCTCCCCACTCTCCTACGCTGCTGTCACCACACACACTATGGTAGCGGGCAGCAGAGATGATTTTCATTATGCCATTCACCCCCATAGGGACCAGTGACTTCCTGGCACTCCTATCGAGATCATTCTCTACAGTAACCATACTATCTTCTTTGAGTGGTCCCCATGGGTGCTCCGCTCATGGTGTCGGGCTCATCCTGGTGCTGCAGCTCAGAGGCTGTTTGCTTAGCTGTTTGCAGGCGGATCGCTCCTGCACACTGTGCAGCACGCGCCGTTCACGCTCTTTGATCTTTGCGCGCACCCAGCTTACCTGACCGTTCCTCTCAACTGTCCCTGGATGCAGACGGAGCTTCTATTCTCTACAGCAGCACCGTGACCGTAGCCTGACTTCTCCAATACGCAGTCCGGGGGACACAACACAGCAGTCAGACCTGGAAGATGGACAATTGTCTGAAGCTGACAACCATCTGTCTGAAAATCCAGTTCCTGACCGTTCACCCTCTTCAACACACGAGGCGGTTTTCTCATGGGACATGTCTCTGCCAGATGATTTTAAGCAGTTCCAAGACCTCTTCAAGTGGGTGGCTCAGTCCCAAGAAATCCAGATAACAGAAGCAAAAACGAAACAGCATTGACTGCTGAAAAATTTGCATCCAAGGCAGAGAGCGAAAGTGGCCATCCCTATTGATGAAGCCGTTATGGAAGCAGCAGACATCATCTGGCAGACACCGGCTTCAGTACCACCAACCTGCAGGAGAGTGGACAGGAGATATTTTGTCCCTTCCAAGAATTTAGAATTCCTCTTCAACCGTCCGCAGCCGAACTCACTGGTGGTAGATGCAGTGCAACAACGGGCCAAAACACCACAGTACAAGACAACACTAGATGCCAAAATCCACCAACCCCATCCCTTTTCAGGGACCCATCTCACAGGACCCGGTTGAAAGAAGAGGCTTATCATTTGCTCTCCATAGGGGCCATAGTGCCCGTTCCTTCTCAGTTCAGAGGAAGGGGCTTCTGTTCACGGTATTTTCTCACGGAGAAGACGACCAGAGGATGGAGACCCATCCTCGACCTCAGGAAGTTAAACAAATACCTCCGCCGTCAAGGTTCAAGATGGTGACTCTTGATAATACCATCACTGGAGAAGGACGATTGGTTTGCAGCCCTTGACTTGCAAGATGTGTATTTTCATATAGCGATACATCCAGCTCACAGACGTTTTCTCCGTTACACTATTAGCGATGATCATTTCCAATATCGGGTCCTACCGTTTGGACTTGCATCTGCTCCCAGGTTGTTTTCAGAAACCCTGGCAGTAGTAGCAGCTTACCTGCGGCTCAGAGTCGTGATCATATTTCCATATTTAGACGACTGCCTTATAAAAGGCAGGTTGAGACAAAAGGTCCTACGCATGGTGGCACTAACCAGGCAGACATTTCTATTGCTTGGGCTCATAATCAATGAGCAAAAGTCATCTCCAGATCCTACGCAGACTATAAATTTCATAGGTGCATGTCTGGATTCCACCACAGCCCATGCGTACTTACCTCAAGAGCGCTTCCAAGTTCTACACGAGCTGGCCACAGTAGTCATCCATGCCCCTACAGTCACCATACTTACCTGTCTCTGCCTCATGGGGCATATGGCGGCCACCACCTTCGTGGTCCAACATGCGAGACTTCATTTTTGCTGTCTCTAACACTTGTTGGCATCGGTGTATATTCCAACAAAGCACTCCACACACAAAGTGATAACCCCAACTCCTCTAGTTCGCAGATCCTTGAGTTGGCGGTTAAACCCCAAAAATCTGCTAGCAGGGGTTCCATTCAAATGTCAGCAGCCATCGACCCAGTGGACTACAGACACCTCCCTTTTGGACTGGGGGGCACACATCGATGGTATGTCCGTGCAGGGCAGATGGTCGGCGGCGGAGGCAGTTTCTCATATCCACCTCCTAGAGCTAAAAGCTGTATTCCTTGCTTGCAAACACTTCTGCACACATATAACTGGTACAACCGTCTGAGTGCTTACAGACAACATAGCAACTATGTATTATGTCAATTGACAAGGAGGAGCACGATCCCGATTACTTTGCGCACAGGCAGTCCACTTATGGAACTGGTACATAAGAAACTGTACCATTCTGGTAGTATCCTACTTACTAGGCATGAGTAATGTCATGGTGGATGCTCTGAGCAGATGTTTCCCTCAGGATCACGAGTGGGAAATCGACCCCGATGTCTTGGACAACATCTTCCGAGCTTGGGGATCACTGCAAATAGACCTCTTCGCGACCTACAGAAACAAGAAGTGTCACCTTTACTGCTCCAGAGGAGGCATGGGCAAAGGCTCCCTTGGAGATGCACTGCTAATCCGCTGGGGAGTGCCTCCGCTCTATGCGTTCCCACCAACGGTACTTATTCCGAGAGTAATCCAAAAAATCAAGGAAGATTCAGCCCGGGTCATATTCCTAGCATCAGCCTGGGCAAGACAACCGTGGTACCCGTTCCTCCACAGGATGTCCCTGTTACCACCATGTCCCTTGCCACTCCTTCCAGAAGCAGGGGTCTCTGCTACACCCCAGACCATCTGATAGCGTGGCTCATAGCTGGTTCAGGGTAGAGGAGCAACTCTGTTCAGAGGCTGTAAAGACAGTACTGTTGAACAGTAGAAGACAAACGAAAAGAAAAACTTACCTGGCAAAATGGAGGAGGTTTGTTGCTTGGTGTGAGAGAATTGGCATCCAACCACACTCTGCGCCAATACATGAGA